AGAGAGAGAGAGAGAGAGAGAGAGAGAGAGAGAGAGAGAGAGAGAGAGAGAGAGAGAGAGAGTCACCGCGTCATTTGTTTGGTTTTTTTTTTTTTCCTTTGTAGAATTTACGTTTGTGATTTTTTTATTTTTTTTTGTGCTATGTGTCATCCCTGAAATGCCGCAGCCCGGCCTTGTTGGGCCGACCGGGCTGCCACTCAGGCGCGTTAACGGGGATGCCCCGCGGCCCATGTATGGGCCAAGTACTGGTCGTTTAAAGAACTACTCATGCAATAGGCTGCCACACAGGTCCTACGAATGCTCACAACCCTCAGGATCCCTAACAAGCCCTTCTAAGACTTTCCAACAGTCTTACTCCCTGCTGAGCTCTTCCAGGCCTCACGCCCCCACCTTGCTGGGTTACAGGGCAACACAACTCGCCCCAGCTCCGACCAGCGTCGTTCCAGCAGCAAACCTTGGCTGTCCCTTGGAATGCCCACCCCCAAAGCATCCCCAGATCTCTCTACCAGGCCTCACGCTCCTGCATCAGCAGGTTACAGGGCAACACCCCAGCACTGGCCAGCGTCGTTCTGGCATTGAACAGCCGCAGATCACTGAGTATAACCGCTTCAAAACCGCCTAGGATCGGTTGCTAAGAGTCCCTAGAGTCCTAAGAAATTCATAAGAACCACCGACAAATCAGATAGGTGAAACCTATTGAATCCAGCATGGCTGTTTTCAGCACGAACCGAAGCTCTTCCAGGCCTCATGCTCCCATCAGGTTAGGTTACAGAGTTGCACCACCTTGCTCCAGCACCGGCCAGCATTGCTCCAGTTACGACCCCCAATGACCACTGAGACTGCCCCCGCACACAGGCCCCCAGAGCTCTCTACCAGGCCTCACGCCCCCACTAAGCTAGGTCATAGAGTTGCGCCACCTGGCTCCGGCTCCGGCTCCGGCCAGCATTGCTCCAGCATTGGTCTTCGAGGGCCACCGAATTTTCAACCACCCTTCCCAGGATCACAGATGACTTGCCAAATAGCACCTATTCCAACAACCTCCTCAAGCGGCAAACCAAATGAAAAGAAATAGTAAACTAGATGATAGACTTATTCAAGAAAAATCGCCCCTCCCTCCCCCTCCCCCCTCAGCCCTACACTGCCTCCGCCAAGGTGAGTCACCCACTATCCCTCGGCCCCAATATAGGACCAACCCTATATATCCCCCTTTCCAGTGCCGTACCCCCGTTCACCGTTCACGGGGTCTGTGTACGGAAACCGTTCATGGAGTTCACGGAGTTCACGACATGGGAGTTCATGGAGTTCATGGAGAGCGGGATCGTTTTTTTTTTTTTCTTTTTGCTGGGAAGGGGTGTTCTTGTTTTTATAGGAGGGTGGGGGTCATCAGAGGGTAACCCCCCATATTTTTTTTATTATTTTTTTTCACGAATAATATTTTTTTAATTAAAAAACGAAAAAAAAAAATGCAACCAGCCAAAATAAGCATTTTCGTTTGTTCATTTGTAGGTTATTTCGATTTTTTTTATTTTGTAGGTTATTTCGTGATGCAATAAAGCGCCAACCTCAACGGGGTTCGTCTCACAAAGAAAGAGAGAGGGAGAGAGAGAGAGAGAGAGAGAGAGAGAGAGAGAGAGAGAGAGAGAGAGGAAGGATTAATCTTCTTTTCCCCGCTTCTCTTCTCTGCCAGGGTCCTGCGGGCCTGTGTCAACCCCCACCCGCCTCCACCCCCCAAACATTTTATTTTATTTTTCTTCACACACACCCCATTCCGTTGTTTTTTTTGTTTTTGAAGGCAGGGGGGTGTAGAAGGCCCCCGCACCACCGCCCTCGGGCCCTGATACCGACCGTCCTGGCCTCCACATGGGCGGAAACCCTGTGAACGGCCGTTCACAGAATTTGGCCCCCGTTACCAGCCGGTCACGTTCACGGGACCGGCACTGCCCCTTTCCCCAAGAGCACGCAGTTCCCACCTAAAGCATGGCCCCCCGGCCCCTTGCCCATTTCTGCCTCCGCAGGGACTGATATTGACCCACGCACCAGCCCCTGCCCCGGAATAGGGCAACCCCCTACTCCGCCCCTACCTTCTTTGAGACATTCACCCCCCACCTTGTGATGCCCCTGCAAGATAGAGCTCCCCCCACCCCCTTCCTACCGTTTAACCCTCCAGGAACAATCCAATCGGAAATTTCTGAAAGTCATGATCATGATATGATTACGAACAGCACCCTAAAGATGATGATGATGAGGATGATGGTGAGGACCAACTCACCTGCTGATGTGAGCCGCAAACAGTACCTTGAAGAGCAAACATCTAATGATGACAAGTTGATGATGATGACGGTAGTGATGAGAATGAAGACAGAATGATGAAGCTGATCATACTAAAGAGCGGCACCAACAGCCCCGCCCCTATGATTACAAACTGATGATGATGATGATGATGATGTCGGCAATGATAATGATGATGACAACGCTCAGCGCCCTGTGATGACAACAGGATGATGATGGTGCTGATGACGAGCACCTTTGATGATAACCTAATGATGATGATGATAGGGATGAGCAGCGCCCTATCATGACGAGCTTTGCCAACCGCGCCCTTATGATGATGGACTATTAATGATGGTATTACAACATTGAGTGACGAGCAGCACCCCTGATGATGTTAATGATGATGATACTAGTGCCAAACAGAAGTGAAGACCTACGCCTTGATGATGATGACCAGCAGTACCCTGATGATGATGGTGGTGATGACGAGCAGCACCCTAATGATGATGACGAACCATTACCGTGATGATGAAGTTGAACCACGCCCTATTGATGATGATGACGAGCAGCACCCTGACGATGATGACGAACCATGATACCCAAAGGACACAGCCCCAATCACCGACTCTGGTTCCAAATCAAAATAGAGACGTGGCAGCTACCTCATGCGGTACCTCTCGTCGTACTTCGGGTTACCTAAGGCTTACTCTGCTGAACTCCACAGGCATCCACAAAGTCGACACCTCACAGGCCCTATGCCACGGGCGAAACCGCAGCGGCAATGGAGTAACAACGCGGAACTCCCAGAAAGCCTCTGGGAGTTAGTCTATCCTCCCTATCAACCTGTGATACGGTATAGTTAGTCTATCCTCCCTATCAACCTGTGATACGGTATAGACAAGCACCTTCGCTCCCCGCGTGTGCGCAAAACGCCTGGTCCGTCGAAGAACAGCGCAATACTCCACCATCACACGAACCACCGATTAAGCAGCAGCCATAAGCTCGACGCCCAGCCCAGCAATTCCTCCATACCCCACCAGCGCCTCTGTCATGCCATCGGCATGCACTACTTCGCCCCTGTGAAAGCGCCACAGCGAAACGGTTCGAGCCAGGCGCACTCCCGCTTCGCCGCCTCGCTCCGCCGCCGTGGTTGGTACCGGGGCGCAGCGCTCCCGGTAGCACTGTGCCCCCAGCTATCTATCATCAACACACAATTATGCCCACACGGAATCGAACCGGGACCCTTAGCCACAAGAACCATGCCATGGTGTTGAAAGTGGAACCATACTGGTGGTGATATCCACTCCACCCCTGCAAGGCTTTAGTGTTGTACTCACTGAGTCTCACCCACGCCACACACAACACCACACGGGCGCGATGGTTCTCACACCCAGGGAGGGAGGGGACGTCACAAGATGTAAAAGAAAAAGAAAAGAAAGAAAATATGGTGGAAGACTACCATTGTCTTTCCAATAGAACACAACGCATCCGATCATGAGGGTCACCTCATCGGCCGGGAAAATGGCTAGACGTGTACTATGCATTTGTAATCACGGTGTGTTATGTTCAGGGGGAACAACGTGGTCAGGCCACTCAAACCCGAGAAAATCCAAGATTCACTTGACGCAAGGCGTGCACTTCTCATCCAGCTACTGCTGACATTATCAAGGGTCTGTGTAATTGAGGAAACATGTTGTTCAGGGATGCTGGACCCGGTTTCCAGCAGGTGCAGCTCCCCACCTATAGATGGAGCCTCCGGAAAGTGGTAGCGGTGTCTGCTCTTATCAGCACCCCTATCACCACATCGGGTTGTTCTTTCAAAAAAAAAAAAAAAAAAAAAAAAAGGCGTGCACTTCTCAAGGACAACGGTAGGCGAGAGATAATTATGAAAGAAAAGCACATGAAAGCGCATGCTGGGTTCCGTGACATGGTTATTCGCTGAAACCACCAGTCCTTTTTTACTTTTTCTTTACCAGTCCATTTGGCAGCTACTTTCTTTTCTTTTTTTTTTGCCTCTCTCTTTTTTTTCAATTTCACCTTTCACTATCTACCTACCACTACTCCTAAGCCTATATGGGGGACCCCTGCAAGCATAGCTACCTCCCGCCCTAATCGGCGGTGGTCAGGGAGTAGGGTGGGCCCGCCGGTGGGGGGAGGGGGGGTAGCTAGCACAAAGATGGAGCATTTTGCCAGTAGCTGTGCCTCCCATCTACTTCCCCCACCCCCCATCGAGTAGCCGCAGTGGCTATGGCCAACAATCTCTCACACACCACACACAACCCACTCAATGACATGAAGTTGTTGGAAACTTCAGTTTTGGGAGGCCCACTTAAGCCGTGCGAACATTGAATACCATCATCATAATGATCTTGCTGTTGTTCAGAATTATCTTGTGATTATGATGAATGCCATTATTATAACGCTTTGACACTCTTGCATTCAATTTGGTGTGTTTGTTAAACTTCATCGTGATCATCATGATATGTCGGTGGTGCAGCCATGGCCAGGAGGAAGGAAGTTCCACGGATCATAACAGCAGTCGCGATTTGCGGATTGCGGCGATGTTTATCATCATGTCTGCTTCGACGCTGGGGTTCCTGATTCCTGTAATATTGACGAAGTGGAAACGGATTCAGTTTTCTCTTGAAAGCAGGGTGCTGCTGGTCGGCAAGGCCTTCTCGGCTGGTGTAGTTGTCGCAACCGCGCTCGTGCACATGTTCCCCGAAGCTTTATCCAGCTTTGAGTCCGATAGATTGGCTGAGCATCCTTGGCAGAAGTTCCCATGGGCGGGGGCCACGACAACACTGGCAGCTCTCGTCACGCATGTATTCGACTTCATGGCGACGACTCACATACAGCGGAAGCATGGTATGAAGCTGGAGGAGGTCACCTCATCTACGGCACTGACAGCTTCTGGAGCAGGGGCAATGTTAGCCGTCACCGCAATGGGTAAGACCCCCGGCGCTGAAGGAAAAGGTGATGTTGTCGTTGATTGCCACGAGCACCAGCATCAAAATTGCGAGAAGTTAACGCGCAACATCGTTGTCGCTGAGATTTTGGAGTATGGGATTGCTAGCCACTCCGTACTCATTGGGATTACATTAGGCGTGTTGACAGACCGCAGTGAGATCCGGCCACTTCTCATTGCTCTAGTGTTCCATCAATTCTTTGAAGGTATTGCGCTCGGTGCCTGCGGGGTTCAGGCCCGCTTCAAGAACCTCAGTTTGGTCGTCATGTGTCTTTTTTTCAGCCTCAGCACGGCCTCCGGTATCCTGATTGGAATCCTGATCTCCAAGTCCTACGAGGAGGAGTCCACCGCGGCACTACTCGTTCACGGGTTCTTTGATTCGTTTTCCGCAGGGATTTTGCTCTACAATGGACTCGTGAGTCTCATCGCAAACGACTTCTTTAGCGACCGGATGAAAGCAGACCATATCCTGCAAGTCATGGCATATATTGCACTCTTCGCAGGTGGCACAGCTATGTCAGTCATAGGGATGTGGGCCTAGACAGTCACTTCACCACCTTATACTGTGTGTACTAACCTTATCACGACCAACCAACCAACCATTTGTAAGGCCGTTATTCTTATTACCATTCATCCGAATATTGTTCTTATTACCATTCGTCCGAATACCCTCCCCCTTTTTTTTTCAACCTTTAATAGTTTTGGCGTACTAGTTGTGAGTTGATATGTGGGCATGTGAGGGGCCTTATTTTCTAAAATTTTGGGACAAAGCTCCAATGATCCAATCTATTTGTGGGGAGCAGCACGTGCTGGGAACCAGGCCCAGCATCGCATATGAAATTTCATACACAAAAGTTTGAGGTATCCGGGCCACAACCTGGCTACGGCTTAGAAAACCGATCATAGAAAAACTACTGAAGTATTCGGAAAATCACTATTAAAGCTCTTTTAGTCTTTTTAGACGCATAGGACTGATTTTTTTTTTTTGTTTTGTTTTTTTTAACACCCGTCTGGGTGCTAGGGGTGCGGATACTAACTTCCGAGTACCATTGGGGGTGCCAACCAAAGTCTGCCTCAACCGCCATATCCTCATGCCAGGACTCTACCAGGTGTCATCCCCCCCTCTCTGCTAGGTTATGGAGGAGCACGGCCCACCCCAGCTCTGAGCCTCGTTGTCCTAATGGTAACTCACAAATAGCCACTGGAATGCCTTCCACCCTTGACAATTCCCAGATCTCTCTACCAGGCCTCATGCCTCGGCCCAACTCGGGTTACAGGGCAGTGCAACCAAACCCCTGTGCCGGCCAGTGTCGTTCTGGCATCGGCCCTCCGTAAGCTAAGACATGACAGCGTCAGCATGGCGTCAGATGAACTGCAAAACCCAATGAAATCAGCCAGCCTCTAGCTCTAAAAGCTATCTAGCTCCTGCAAACACTGGTCAGCCTCTAGAGTGAGGGGAGATATGCAAAATGATCCCCACTTGCTTGTATGCTTCATATATGGAGAAAGTTACCCCTTCCGGAACACTACAACCCTCCAAGATGGGAAGCGGTAATGAGGCAACCCCTACCCGGGAACAGAAGAATCACTCGTCAAACAGCTAGACATTCCCCATTCACACGTGGCCCAGGAAACGCTCGGTCAAAACTCAAAAGAGGGATTATATTGACTGTGATGAAATTAAGGGAACCATCAATGGCCCTTAGCTTGGTTGGTACACCCTTGAACTATTGAAGTACAGACCTCTTTTTGAAAAGGCCGATTAAAAAAAACCTACTAGGCAAGTTTTTTTTTTTTTTAAAACAACGGGCCCAGTGCCCAAGGCTGATATTCAATGAAAATATTGAGGCCGGGGTCCTCACAGTCTACCCGGAGAGACCGAACCAGACATACTGAGAACCGGGCTCAGCGTCCCTCCTATAATGCTGATACTGAATCTGATTGTGATTGATGAAATTAGTGATGCTGACTCTACTGATGATGATGATTACAATAACGCTATATCACCTATTCTGGCCTCCTAAACTTAGAACAACACCTAGCCTTCCTTATATCAGAACGAAGTTACCCAGAAACAATACCTTCCTAACCAATGTCCCCCATTGCTGCTCTCTTCTCGCCACCTCGCAGCCCCCCCCCAATTCACCACTGAATTACCTTCCTCCCTCGGCAACACCCAGATCTCTCTACAAGGCCTCGCACTCGCCTAGTAGATCTTCACGCGGCCACTCCATCTATTGGTGGGGAGCATCACCTGCTGGAAAACGGGTCCAGCGTCCCTTATACAGAAGAATTCAGGAAAATGTCTGAGAAGTAACTGAGAAAAAATTCTGCCAGCATTGATTGGTCTGGTTCCCAGAGGATTGACTGCGCAGATTGTTGAGAAGAAAGGGAAAAACCTCTTCACCCTGTATTAGGCGCCAGATATCTACTGCTGAGGAATTAGTTCCTCCCTAACCCAACTTCTGCTGAGAACTGCTGAGAACTGGGTTCCTCCCCGGGGGCTCCAGGGGGGACTTCCTTATACATTAGGTCGTAAGGTTGGGTATTTTCAAGACGGGACTTCTGCCAGGGAAAGAGCATGGGGTGGGAAGGGGTCCGGGAAATCAGACGGAGGCCTTAGTGGGAATGAAGGCTCTATGTTTGTCCAATCTTTGAAGATTAGGCGGTAGTCTCTTAAATCACCAGTACTTGGCCCAGCTATGGGCCGCGGGCGTGTCCCGTTAACGCGCCGCATTTGGGGGGGGTCGTTCACATGAATGGCCGGTCGGTGAGAATTGTGATGCAGAAAGGCAAGAACCAAAAAAAAAAAAAAAAACTACTTTTCTAAGTTGGGCGGGGTCGTGGTCACTTAGGGTTCTTGGTGGAATGCTTCTAACTACTATTTCAGTTAGATTCTGGATGTCATTTTTTTGAAATTTTTTTCTGCTTTTGTTTCTTTTCCGTTTTCCTTAGATTCCCCTGCCAGCGAGGCAGGGCATATCCTGTTATCTACTGAACAGCTCTCTCTGAGGGCATACTCACAATTGCACACAGTTCGTGTTCCTTTTTTTTTTTCTTCTTTAAGATTTGTCTCTTTGTTTTTTGTTTTTTTTTTGGTTCTTTTAAGATTCCGGCCACGGGGCTGACACACCCAAACTGCGACGTGCTCACACTAGCACACGGAAGAATGCATCGAACTGCATTCACGTCCCCAGAGTTTTTTTTTTTTTTTTTTTTTTTGATGTTTTTGTTTTCCAAGTGGTCCCCCCAGCCTCGGCCCATCCAGCTAGGCTTGGCAGGCTCGACATACCGGTCGCTGGAGGCTCGGACTTGATAGCTGGGCCAGGTACTAGTGGTTTAACTCTTCCAAATCTCGCTGTCCGTTTCCTTTATCTCCACTCCACTCCACCTTGGCCACCCATCCTTCTCTCTCCCCTCCTACCCAGTTTATGCAAAATGTTGTAATCCCTCTCCTAACATCGCCAATTTGTCTGAAGACATCGATTTGTGTTTTCGTTTCTAACCATCTTTGTGTAAGTTCACGTTCCACCTGCTGCTGAATCTGTTCTGTGATCTCTGGTCCCGCTACCCTCACTTTTTCCCAGGCCAGTTTACACCTTTGCCACCAGAGTGCCCATATCACCGCCCTTCTTCCTAGTTCATACATATTCTCTACAAGGTTGTAGCTTCCCCTGCCGTCGGCCAATGCCCAGCTAGTATGGCTGCCATGACCAGGGTCATGGGATGTCAATTACCATTTCCTGCCAGATGCGGTCCTGCCACCTCCATGTAAATTGGGCAATCGGACATTGCATAAAGATATGTTCAATAGTTTCGTCTTTCTGGTGGGAGGAGAAAAAACTCTGGCACCGCTGACACCACGACAGTAGCAGGCCTTTTTGCTCCAAATTAGTGCGGTCTGTCAGCCAGTCGTTGGTGGGCAGACACCGATGAGCTATCTGCCATTGCAAGGAGGTAATTTTTGTGGGCTCGACCTTTTGTCCCTTGAACCAGCGAATCTGCTTCAAGAGGGCGTAGTCCACATTGAGCTGCCATGCCCATCGATCATTAACCACATCCCCTAGGTGTCGCTTGGGTCTAAGCATTTTGTAGGCTGATTTGACCGATAATTGATAAAGGCTGACATTACCAGTGTTAGGGCCTCCTCTTCTTTCGGGGGGACTTCCAAGTCCATTCCACAGGATCCAGAGCCAGATTCTAGATCGCTGTGATATCCTTTCTCCTCCATGACCCTCACCCGGTACACTAACTCCCTCTCCTTCCAAGCAAAGGAGGTTGTGCTCTCTTGAAGAGTGCCCAATCTGGTGATAGCGAAGTGTTCAACCAGGACTGTTTGGGGGGAGACCATATGAATATGTCCAATCCTCGGTGGACACTCTTTACTTGCCACCCAGTCTCCTTCTTTCAGGGTGGGGCCTCGTTTGACGATTCGGTACCATGCCAGCGGAATGACCTCAATTAGGAGGTCCAAAAAATCCTCCACATGGTGGCAGTATCGTAGGGCTTCTCGTAGCTGATCAGCTGTTTTCCAGTCGTGTCTCTCGTTATCCCAAAGGTCCCCAACTCTTAAGATTCCTCGTGTGATCCAGCTTTTCCAGGGCAGGGCTGAGCTCGACATAATGCAGCCCCTCGGGTCTATCACCCACCTATTTCCGAAAAGGGGCTGCCGGTAGACCTCCTTCCATCGGTCAGGGTGGGTTTTGTCTGGAAATGGGAGCTTGCACCAAGACTCCAGTAGAAATGGCCAGAAGGTGTCCATGTTCTGGTCTCTCTCGTCAACCCCCTCCCTTTCTTTTGAGAGTTTGCGAGGGATTGTCCAGAAACGGTCTTCTAGCCATGTCAGTGGGTGGACCCCTTGAGTGGTTGTCAGGGCTAGCCGGGCCAGATGCTCAAAAGCCAATACGCACCATGGGCTCTAGGGATAAAGATAAGTTTTTTGACCCATTTTAATCGTAGCGCACGCACCTGTGTGGTTGGGTCGATTATTCCCAAGCCTCCCCTTGCCTTGGGCTGGATAATTGAGGCCCACGTCACCCGTGTGACGAACCATTTCCCGACCCCGTGCTATCTTGCGTACCCCTTGACTCAATTTCCCCTTTTTGTATCATACCGACCCAACAAAGCCCCCGTCGCTTTTCTTGATTTCGGGTGCCTTGTTTAGGCCCCCATTTTTCGGAGGTTCTATTGATTCTTGGAATTTTGCTTTTTGTAATTCGGGAAATGCATAAGAAATTTATGTGCGCCTTAGCGAGCGCACTGGGAATCGGGTTCGACAGTTAGGAATTCCGAAATAAGCGGAACCCGACGTGTCTTTTTCTTTGCATGAATGTTCTCGGTCACGTCAGAGAAAACTCTAGGAATTTTGTGAGAATACGGATAGACATAGGACTTTTTTTTCCCGCGTCGACTTTCGCGCGCGGATATGGCGATTTCAATTTTTGAATTGATGTAGGACATGGGCAAGCTGTAATTGTTTTGGTGCCTTTTTTGTCTCTTGTTGTCGGCACCACGCATGCGAGCTTCCTCCTCCTTATTTCCCGCGTCATTCTTCCCCCGCGCTCCCTTCTCTCTTCCTTCTCCCTCCTCTTCTTCTCCTATCGCAATTGTTTTTCCCTCTCTCTACTCTTTGCGTGCCTGTTTTCCCTTCTTGATCATCTGAATCTTGGACCCGTCTCGCGCTACGTTTCGCGCCTCTTTCCTTCTCGATCTCCAACCTTGGCTCACGAAGCCCGGTTGATCCGTTGATTACCCCCGCTCACCAATCAGACGTGTTGAGCAAAAGGATCTTCCTGTTGCGCGACGAATCTGATTGGTCGAACATTGGGTACCGAAGGATCAACATGGCTTCGCTTGAGCACCCTTCGTTGAACCTTCTCCTCTTACACCTCGATTTC